GATGACCTCACCTTTGACTTCACAACACTTTGGAATACAAAGGAATTCATGGCTGACCCAATGTCACTGAAAACAAGGTCATGTGGTTGCAAAACAAGCCCAAATGATCACCCCACCGCCACCATGCTTGACAGTTACTACAATTTGTTTGTCCTGATATGCTGTGTTTGGTTGATGTTGAGCATTATGGCCAAACATCTCCACATTGGTATTTTCTGTCCAAATGACATTGATCCAGAAGTCTTGTGGTCTGTTGAGTTTCAAATCTACAAGCCTAAGTTGTGCTGCTATGTTATTTTTAGAGATAGGAGGATTTTTTCTGGCAACCATACTTGTTAAGCATTTTCCTGATAGTACTGTCATGCAGTTTAACAGTTAACATGTTAAATAATAGAGGTGGGAATCACCATACATCCCACGATACGATATTATCACAATACTTAACTCACGATACGATATTATTGCAATTTTTTAAAATATTTTGCGATATTCAGATTCTGTATATAAAGGTAAACTTTATCAATATTCATTTTATCTAATAACAAAGTCTCGCACTCAGTCTTTCTCTCATTCAGTCAGTTTTATTGTTGACAAACAGAACGGTTTGTATTACAGTCTAGTCCAACTTAACTGAATGCAACCATCTGGTACAATTATAGCTATTCTGAACTATGCAATTTATGAAAACTATGCAGCCCATTCAGCAACTGAAGAATTTGAAAGTAAATTAAAACAAAATATAATTTTACATTAAATAAAAAAGTTTTAAACTTAATTAAAATAATACATGTCTTAAAGTAAAATAAGTAAACTGTCATGTTTATTGCTGCCAAAAAAAAGTTAAACACATTTGGACAGTGAAGGAATGTCAGGATTCTTGCTCAGAAAAAGGATCAACATGCTCTGAAGTCAGAGCACAAAAACCTTTTTTGTAACAAAATATCGATTTCTGCTGTCCCTGTATCGATACATTATTAGCAAACAAAATATCACGATACTACACAGTATCGATTTTTTCCCCCACCCCCATTAAATAAGTCTGTAGAGTTTGAGTTATAGCTCTTAGGCTTTTTGTAGTTGATCTGTGCATTGCATGTGGTGAATTTGCTGAGGCATCCGCTCCTGGAAAGATTGTAGCATTGTGTTAAAACACACTTCAATGCTGCAGATCAGCAAACTGCTCAAACTTCTGCTTTTATGGAGCTGGACACATATGTTGATGATCAATTAATCAAATGCATTTGCTTTGCAGCCCCTGGCGGATACTTACCCTCTTAATTCCAATGGAAGCAGTAAGTGTGTACTTGTATCCATTAAAAACAAACAAACTAAGAAATAAAGCCAGTATTTTTTAAAAGCTTTGCCACGTTCCTCTGTCCATCATGCACACTTGCAGTTTTAAGCTTTGAAGTAAAACTTCAAACGACTTCAAACAACTGTAAACGACCTCATTTTGCTTTTTAGCACATCTAATTGAAAAGCCTGGGCTTTTTTCCTCCAAAAAGCTGAGCGAAAGGATAGTATCATGGTCCGTGGGTTGGTGACCCAAAGTTTTGAGTTTTATGGCTTCAAGATTTATTCTTTGGGATTTGTGATAGTTATTATATTCATGCTCCCTGTGTATGATAGTAGTGCTTCTGAGTTTGTCATCTTGGACTCTAGTTCTAGATTTCTCTTTAGATGATAATTCTTTTCTGTGTCCCGTCCATCCTGGCCTCATCTCTGTTTTCCTTCTGTCTGCATCTTTGTCTCAAGCATCTTTGTCTGGGTCTACGTGTTAGTCATGTCCCCATGTTTATCTTCTGTTATCTCCATGTCTTAGTCTCTGTATTTGTTCGCCTTTAGAGTCAAGTCTGGGTTTCTGCTCCCATGTTCTGTTACTTCCTGTTTTATTTTGGTACCCTGTGTTCCACGTGTATTATGTTCAGTTTTGCTTCCACTGTCTCCTCAGTCTGATTAGTGTTAGCAGTCTTCGCATCTGTGGCCTGTTCCATGTTGTTCACTGCATTTATATATTGTCTGAGTCTCTTGCTGTTCCTCGTCGCAATCTCCCATTTGCTGTGTGATCCATTTGAGTCTAGTTCATGAATCCCGGCTTCTTCCTTCTCAGAATTATTTTGTATTTTGTTTTCTTTATTTTAGCAATAAAGCCGCCTGGAGTTGAAGTTTGCCTCGCCAGTCCTGCATTAGGGTCTTTTTCCTGCCTGTCACGCAGCGATTCCTGACACATAATAGATACTGGACTTTGGTTTGTATGATTTATGTGAATAATTGCTCAAATGAAAACTGAACATTTCAGATGTTTTTTTTACAGTTATCTAAAAAGTGCACCATGTCAAGGTAAAAAGTGATCATTTGCTTTTTGTTTAAAGTTTATTGCCATCATGTGGCCAAAATAGTCAGACATTACAGGCTTAATTCAAGTAAAAGAAAGAAAAGTAAAAATGTAGTTGTCATTTAAATTCTATGTAGCAAGGATTGACAGCTAATGTTAGCTTAGCTCAGTAGTTCAGTGAGCAGCTCTGCTTTATTAGAGAACATAGTTTATATTTCTAAATGATGAATGACTAAAACAAAGTATATTTTAATTCTAAGTAATTTATATGAAATGTTTTTTAAAAAAATAGTAGGTGCTAATAATATAAATATAAATAATAATATAAATAACACAAATGGTTTGTATACACATTAAACTGTGAGATATAATAAGTATATCGTTATATAAACAAATACCCATGATAAGATTTTTCTCAAACATACCTCCAGAACTGTTAAAAATCATGGAGAGATAGAAAAGCAGAAATAGAATTAGCATGTAATTAGCTTTTCATGGGTACACTACGCAGATGTAAAAAGTGTCATAATTCTCTAAGTTGCAATAACTAACAATAATTAGCTAACTTATAACAGTCCAGTCTGGTGAGTTGGTGAAATTAAGCTAGATGCCATGTAATGATCTGCCACCATGTCGCTAGCTACAGGGGGACTGTTTAGGTTAAAAATACCTATGTATCACCACAGGTAATGCCTTTTTAGGGTGAGGCTTAAATAGTTCTAAATAACAGTACACTACACACTGAGGTCCAGTCAGCACAGCATTTTGAAAGTTCTGACAGACAAGTACCAAGATGGCACCAATGCCACATGGTTGGACATATATTCTACAAAAAGACACGGGTAAGCTTAACATTCATTATGAATTCTTAGTTGGCCATTGGGTTAAAATATTAGTGTCCTAGACCCTGACCCCAGATGCTCTTTTGAACAAAATGCTTCCTGTTTTTGTGAAGTTTTACAAATTGAGCTTAAGCACACATAGTGCTAATAAAAAGCTGTGAAGTGTTGAATGAAAAAAAGATTTTTTTTTAGGTATTATATCTTTTAAACAACAAGATGAGGGAACTGTGGCATGTTGGGTGGGACAAGAGTCCAGCTAAACAGAGGAGGCTTGGACCTGGAAGTATTATTATCTGAGAGTTCATAAGTCAACCCTTAACAAGGAGACCCTTGAAGACCAGTTGCTCTTCCTTTGCCTTCCTTTACATCCTTTCCTTTCTTGTACAATGCCACTTTCAATCTCTCCTCTGTGATGATGCTAGAAGGGTGGTAATTAGTATAAGTGCACTTTTGCATGTGTGCACATGTATTTGCACAAATCTTTGTGTGTAATCTGTGTTGTAGTCCTGCTGGTGGTGGTGGGGTTGTTGGACTTCTGCTCTACGGATGTCATAATTAGGAACTGGAATTCTGTGAATTCCTGGGAAGGCTACACGGTCCTAGAAGGCTTTTCATCTGCTGCATCAGCCCTGCCCCCTCTCAGCCTCTGGCCTTATGGAAAAATACAACATGTTCCAACACACACCATCACGGCAATCAATTACCCCTAACTGTAGAAAACACATCGTAAACAACAAATATCCCAAAACATCCTACAATTGTAACCTCATGGCACTGAGGTTCACAAACATCTGTGACATGCTGGTTTGATCTGGACCCAACCACTAATTCATGAGCTGGCTAATTAACCTCAACTATTCTAAATATATCGTGTGCTTTATTTGTACCACTATAAGAAAATAGTTCCTTACTTGGTGTTTTTGTTTTCCAAACAAGAAAAAAAGTGGTAAATGCATCCTCAGCAATACAATAAAATGCTTTCCTTAAAGACAGGTACTCATATATAAGCTGGTTATATGAACACAATAACAGTCAAATGCTTTCTGCATATGCAGGCGCCAGAATAGAAACAATGCTTTCCAATCAAGCCATGTCAAACAACACTTTTCTAATGAGCTGCCTACCAGGGTTATTATTGCTCGCGGATGTTGTGTCCAAGATGTATCTGAGAAGCATAAGCTAATCAACGACCCAAATAAAAGTGTGGCTACTCCTCCTACAGAAAGTAACTGCTTATATACCAGCGATTCTTCAAACCCACATAAAGCTAAGCTGAGAATTTGGCAAAATTCACTATTTTTTACTTTGAGGTTTGGCACTACACACCAAGAGTGAGGTAGCTTTTCTAGACATTTTTGGCTGCTGATTTTCAACTTAAATGGGGGCTTTGGTGAAAAGCCTAAAATTATCCTGCTGGTTATCGTGAGGTTAACTAAATTCTTTTGCTTCATTCTGCCATGAAGTACTCGTATTGTGATTTTTGGACTCTGGTTAGAAATGGAACAACAGAGGGTTTGTTTGATATCACCAGAATTACTGATACTAATACACCTGGTGCTACTATAAAAAAGACAAAAAAACCAATAATAATAAGAGTAATACGTATTTAAGCAATTTTAGTTTTGTTTTTGGATTCTGGTTTTAGCGTTATTTTAAATTATAGCAGCAAATATTGCTTTACACCTAACATGACAAGTGGTAACTCTAAATTGCCCATAGGCGTGTATGTGGGTGTGAATGGTTGTCTGTCTCTATGTGTTAGCCCTGCGATAGACTGGCGACCTGTCCAGGGTGTACCCTGCCTCTCGCTATAAGACAGCTGGTATAGGCTCCAGCCCCCCCGCGACCCTGAAAAGGATAAGCGGAAGAGAATGGATGGACGGATGGATGACTAATAGGTTTGTTTTTAAGGTGTACTGACATTTCTGACATGTCAGTTTGTCCAAAGGTCATGTAACGCAAGAGTATTTGCACTGGGAGAAATGCATGTATCTTTACATTTGGTTGCCAATTATTTAACTGCTGCTGATCAGCAGTTGATCAAGTGCCATTTCTTGTAATATCTTGTTTGAGCCTTGTGTTTAGGGCTCTGTTGAGTTGTTTCCTTTGTGTTTTGAGTAATGAAATGGATTTAAATGTCCCTTCACATTTGGATACCTTTTAATAGCCCTGGATTGACACCCAGTGCCCAAGACCTCACAGTGCCCTTATGTGTAAAAAATCCGAACACACGGCCAAATTCAATTTAGTTTGCCAGCCTTAGTGATGCTGGAGACATCCAACCTATTAGTTTTTCACAGGTTGGCCTAACATCAGGTTTCACTGGCCTCCATGTAGGCTGGTGTTACTATGTGATGATAATTACACAATAAACATACTGAAAAGTGTAAAACGTATTTCAGCATTAATACAAAACCCTATTTATAAATCCATCAAGGTGAGGTTTCAGCCACTGAACACAGGCCTCTGTAATTCAATTACATTCAGTTCTATTTTATTTATATAGTGCCAAATAACAACAACAGTCACCTCAAGATAAAGACTCTACAATAATGATGTAATGACAGCAAAAATCTAATTGTACCGAAGCAAGATATGCCACAGGATCACGGACTGCAAGAAGTTTATGTTTGTGTAGGTTTGTGTCTGTATTTTTTGTGTGCACATTTTTATTAAAGGGCAGTGATCTGTCATGGTAGGCGTGCTGCCAGGAGATGTGGTGACAGATGAAATGAATGACATGGAAGAAGCTGTGTGGTTGAAAAATCCTTCAGAAACTAAATTAAATCAATATGACTTCACCTCAAATATATATGCATACGTCACACAGTCAGCTCATTCACGTATCTTCCATATTACCAGCAAGTGAATAAATTGATAAATGAGGTTGCCATATGCCCTCTCAAACACATTTATATGCCAGGACCAGCATTTTAGTCTTACAGTGTTCCAATGCAAGAATACTGTGAGCCAGCTTGTCTTCTAACACAGTCTAATGAGGCAGCACCAAATGACTATCCACTCTAACACTCTTTCTCTACGTGCACTTCTCTGAATATCCCCCATGTCTTGGCTGACCTGACTCTGAATATGGGTCACAGGCTACACAATCACCTTGTAATTACCAGAGAGTAAACAAGCCAAGCCAGAGGAGAAGTTTTAATGATTGTCAGGCTGCCACAAAGGACCCTTCATTTCTAATGAGGGGTAAGTGTGTCATATTATGTTGCACAATTGTTGGACCTGACCACCACGATAAATATAGCATCCCTCCAATATTATGGGATCAAGAACATTTTGGGTGATCAGTGCAATCAAACAGAAGTGTAACCTAGAAAGACTTCCTCTGCTTCGACGATGATGTCAAAGCTGACCTTACATAATAAACACTTTGCCCAATTCTTGAATCAGATGATTAATTGCTCACCAGTCTTTTCAGCAGCTATGACACTATGTGCCACCCACGTAGTCCACTCCGGCCTCATGTCTCACTCTCATTAAACAGGGCCTTTGTGTCCCAGCTGCTCTCGTTTTGTCCCAGCATGCCCACCTGTGTCTCTAGCCATGATGACATCACCTCTGACCTAATCGAGGTTAGCGCATCCAAGGTGAGGGCTCTCACAGGCAGCTACAGTCCATCTCTTTCCCCTTATCACTCAATAACTCCTTTGTGCTGGCGAGGCCTGTGGGCTTATATGGACAGTAATGAGACGGGGCACTTTGTAATCTGCCAGCACTGTAGCAATATAACCCATACAGAGCAAACTCTATAATAGCACATTGTTTGAGGCAAGTTAAGTGATGGTCTGCGATGTGGTGCTTTCACACCACTTGGAGTCACAGCCCAGAGCTGGCCTGCTGAGCTGGGCCAGTAAAACCTCTCTTTTCACGAGTCAGGTGAGTTAACACACCAAGAGACCGGGAAAAGCTTTGCAGCTTGCTGCTGAAATACTGCGAATTTGTATGCACACTCACAAAAAAAGTTTAATCTAAACACACCTAAATTCGGAATGGTCTTATAAAATAAGTTTTGAATGTGGTCAGGGTTTGGGAGATGCAAGGAGAGGAGGCAACATCTCATGCACGCACACACACACACACACACACACACACAAATGCACACAGCCATAAACTGAGCCAGATTTAGAAACTAAGATATCATATTCAGGTTCCTCGAAGACTTTGGTATGTGATATTTCACAGCTTCTTCTTCTCACAGCCCAGCACTCCTGCTTTCTCGTGCGCTTTCTATTCTGAGAGAGTTACTGAGTTATGTTTACACAGCAAAGTTTAAAATTCTGCTTTGATTTACTGCTTAGATTTTTTTTTACAGCATCGTTTTTATTAAGGTTTTTTTGTGGCTTTATTTAACAGCCCTCAGACAACGTAGCAAGTAAAGACGTGGTATGCTTGAGTAGAATTATGTCAGTGATATAGAGGTCATATGTAATCACACAGTTCCAGTGGCTCACTGGTTGGGTTGGTTTGCACAAGCGACTAACTCAGTATTAAAAACTGTTATATAGCAGTTTTATTAGCATATATTTTGGTTTTAAAGGTATAGTTTACGTTTTATCTCTCTTGCTGGGAGTTATTTGAGAAGACTGGCACCACTTGTGCACATGTCTGTACTTAGCACAAAGATAGAAAAACAGCGAGATAGTCTTGTATTACGCCCTCGGGGGAACCTCGTTTTGTCAGCATAAAACTGCACTTTACGTGTACATTAAAAAGAAAAAAAAAAAGACACAAGTTGCACGTTCAGAAATAATATCACCTGAGGTGACTTTTTTTTTTTAAGTTACTGTTTTGACAGCACGGGATACCGTAAGGTTTCGAATCAATCCTCGGTGGGGTCACTCAGGAGTTATTGTCCGGCAGTTTTCCACAACAAAGCCTGAACTTGTAACCAAATTACACACACATGCTTCCCGTAAAGCACCGTAAAGAGTCTGTAAACTAGTAACATTAATTGCTGTCACAGAAGCCTCTCTCGCAGTGAAGCGTCCCCCTAATTCACACACAAATACGCACACACTTGCACACACACCCCAGCTTGGCCTCTCTGTTGTGGTTTCATTGGTCGGTCACTTGCCAGGGCCCCAGGGGTCCCAACTCAGAACACATGTCCGCTTTCTGTATGTTTACAGTACAGCAGTCAAAGTGAATGAACGTTACGGCTGTCAAAGCACACTTGTCTCTTTTCTGGACGCTGTCACCGCAAGAAGACAATGCCTTTGTGCAATGTAAACATGAAAAATATTCTTAATACACCAAAAACAAAACACAGTTAAAAAGTAAAAATAACAGCTTTAGCTGCCACGTGAACCAGACCACAATGATGCTCACACTTTAGATGTCTCTCATCCACAAACCGTCACTGCTCTGCATGCATGCATGTAGATATACAAGTGTGCAGTCAAGATGTCAATAACAAGTGCTTGGAGGCTGATGCGCAGCATCACTGTCACATCCCCAAAATGTGAAAATAGCTCAAATCAGCACTGTAGACTTTATAGATGGCAAGACATTACTTAAAACATAGTATGTTAACCTCTGTAGTGGGTACCAAACAGTAAACCTAACCTGCTACTGACAAAGCGATTGGACTAAAGGTGCAGATTAGTCACTAAATGGAAGTTTATGTGAGATTTTTCAGTCGAATTTACAGCTGTGTTTTGAAACTATACTGCAGCTGGACAATGTCTGATCACAGCATAAGATTATCTTTAACCTTGTGCACAACATTTTAAGTCATGTCATTCATTTGGTTTGTCAAACCGCTGAATGTTCTGGCTCTCTGTGCCAATGCTTGGTGTTTTGTGTTGCATTCAAGTAAAACATTAAATATGCATTGCGCGATAGAGGTCCTCGTCTCTCCACTATTCACCAAGTAACTTTTTTTTTCATTGGTTGTACTTATTTGTATTTTTGTATTTCCTTCAGATATCTGTACCTGAGCTGAGGTAATGCAAAAATGTCCCTGTCGTGGGATCAATAAAGTCTTATGTTATCTTATCTGTAAATACTGGGATGCACAATTATATGAAAAGGATGAAAATGCCACAAAACTTGTGAACCATCTCTTGAGTTGCGATATTAGCATCAACTGCATTTATCTTGTAGGTAAAAGAAATAAATGAAAAAAATTTACATGTCTAGGTGTCCATCAGCTGGTGATTTCTCTGTTGTCTGTGTTTCTGAAACTGTATGACAGGCCCAACTAGGCTCCACATAGAGCCACTGCAAATGGGGTGTACACAGTGAAACCAAGTGAAACAAATGTTGATGCTATTGTATTTGCCTAAATATTTCACTTTATTCAACTTTGATCTTTTTTTTATTCTTATTTTTTTTTTAATGTGGTGGATGGTGAACGAAGTGACGTTATTTCTGCTTCCAAAGCGAGGCATGCCAGAAGAAGTTTGCAAACTGCTGATGTGCACTGACTCGCTGAGGACTCAGGTATTCCTGTGAAAAAGCTGCAGAAAGAAGCAAGTGCACGTGCCAAGAGTGACACTTTTGCTGAAAGTGACTGTGGCTGTTAAAATGCCAATGATCACAGCAGAAAGGTCGTTAGGTTTTTGTGCCTAAACTCTCCAGGGGTTGTTTTTCCCATACGGCCTGAATGCAGCGTCAGTAGGCAGCAGTGATGCACACGCTATTACGAGCCTGTGGTCCACTTCAGTGCCCTGATTGGGCCAAATCGAGGGTGTGTGGACAGCGTGGGCAGTTTTTAACAGACGTGAATTGAGCAGGAGACTTCACTTTGTGGTACAGACACAACTGGAAACGGATCAAGCTCTTCTCCAGACACGTGCCACTGCGCGCTATACTCCCTCCTGCGTGGACGTGATGGAAGTCGGCTGGACTTTTAAAATACTGGAGCGTTGCAATTTCCATTCCGTGCACATCAAGCTTAAGCCAATTTCTGGTACTATGTATCACTGTACATTCTATATAGCTGTGTGCTTGAATTGAATATTAATAGCATATTAAAAAAAAAATCGAGTATTAGGACAAGTAGAGAAGACAGAGTGGGGCAAGATTGTCATAAATTCATGGCAGAAAAAAAAAGTCTACCACATCCACAAGAGGAATATAATGGGAATATTGAAATGCTGAGGTTTTCTGTGCTGCATCATCTCCTAGCCAAAATACCTCCCATTTCTCAGCTGTGGTGACTTCTCCAAAGCTCATTCCACTGACTAAAAACCTCAATTAAAACGATAGATACTGCAGTCTCGAGACAATAATTATCTATATTTAGAGCTATAAGTGATCATCATTTTGGTTTAGGTTAAAGCGGGAGTCCAGTTCCCACTCTAGGCTAATTTCATTGATGGTCTAAATATAGGCTAGGTTCTTTTTTTCTTTTAGTTTCCTTTTTTTCCTTTTAGTTTTTTCCAACAGTCAGAGCCAGAGTTTCCCAGGAAAATGATTTTTTCTTTCCCTGAAAATAAATTAAATGTTATGATAAACAGATTTCAAAGTCACAGATCTATGAAATTTGGGCTGCCACAATCAGATGCATGCTTGTCTGTCTCTTCCTCTGTCTGTCCTTCACTCTCCCACACACATGCACACACATGCACACAACTTCCAATAGTTTATGGGGCATCTGAGCAGTGGCGTAATGTATTTACCTTGGGTTCTGGTCGTAGATGGGCCGTTACCACCCACCCTTCCACCCCCAACGTAGTTTGTTACACACCTCTGGGTTTTAATAGTCAACCGATGCCTGTGGTTTGAGGAGGTCTCCTTTCCTTGCACATTAGGCAAAGAGGAGAGTTGCTCAGGTTGTGGACGTGAGTGCGTTCATCCTCCTGTGTGTGAGTGTAGACAGCTGGGTTCATTACAGAATGGTCGCCCTAGTGCTGTGCTGTAATTAAAAATGAAAAGGAACAGACAATTAGTATCAGTGGGCCCCCTGGAGGCTTCAGATATAAATGCATTTCCCATATGCTGCACCTTGACGGTCATTTCCTGCTGTCCTTGCCATTTCTTTTTTCCACATGTAGCAGCCCTCTGGCATCCCAAGCCATGCACCCATGCTTGCATCACTCTACCGACTCCTATAGAGGGCTTTACCTGAAAAGCAGCAATGCCATTAGGTCACTGGAAAAATTCAGAATATGGAGACTTAATGTTCCTTCTGCAGTGAGCTTGCAGTCATTCCACATGGCATCCTCAAGTGTTGCTCTTGAAAAAGATTCCTCAAGCGTCTCCAAATGCGCAACATTGCCAGTGTTTGTCCTCTATTCTTAGATCACTCCCTGTAGTAGTGAGTAGGAACTCATTGTCACAGACTAAACTGGGAATTGTGTAACAGAGCTCTCTGTATGTAGTTCCCCATAAAAAAAAGTTAAGGAATTCTATTTATAGCAGTCAGCAGTCAGTCATAAAAGTTATTATAATCTGACTATAAATCAGTGTATGTTATTAATAGGCTGGTGTGCAATTGCCAGGCAGTTAAATTTCATTAAGCGTTTCTGTCACAGCAAACTTTGCAACCACCTTCTGTGGAAGCAGTGTTCTCACACATGTTGTCGACACTGCGCTTAATTTAAAAGCTGCCTTGGAATAATGAGTAGTAAGCTGCAGATTCACTGACATCAGATTGTTTTTTTATTGCAGAGTGTTTGGACATTACACATGTTACATTTTCCAGCATATTGGTAAGCGTAATGCGTCTTGAATCTCCCACTGCTCTGTGTATCCTATGTAAGTGTTTCCATGGCATAAGCAGACTTTCTGTTTACTTTTCATTGCTGCAATAAAAAGCAGGAACTGCAGCTTATCTTAGATCAAATCAACTAGATAAAGACTATTAAACGTCTGGTTGGGATATTGGATGTCTGAGGGTTATGCTGATTGTAGAATTCAAGTCAGCTTACTCATGAATATTGCCTTAGAGGGCCAGTTTTTATGGCAAAAAGGGGACTTTTCGCTGGACACTCCCCTAAAACCTTGGACGTGGATTTCTGCGTCTCTGATTGGTTGTAAAGCCCCGACCGACAACACCTGCTTAACTCCTTCATCCAAATTGACACCCGGGGCTCTTAGAAATATAGGCAGCATCACTTCCAGCTCGTGCATTCAGTCCAACAGCTGCCCCATAAGCCACCGAGCAGCAGCTCCGTCGATCCAAGGTGCACCCTCACCCACGCAGAGACACTCGCACTCGCCGAATCTTTGCAGTGGGGATAGAAGCTCATTGTCGGAGAAGCAATGTTTGTCAATCTGGCCGTGCTGCTGCTGCTGGTTTTGTCAGTACTGGAGCAAGTAGTGGGAACGGATAATATTGACATTTATGACACCCCCCCGGAGAAACCTGCGAGCCAGAAAGGACGCCTCTCGCTGCAGAACACAGGTAAGAAATGAGTGGCAATAGAGGTAAGAGTCGTGGGGTTTGACCGGACACGTGTTTCTCGTGGCTGCACAATTAAACCATGCAGGAGGCACGTTTAGTCGGTTTTGGCAAATCCGTTTTTAAAAAAAAATTAAAAAAAATAAAATGTTTTATTTTTATTTATTTATTTTAACTTAAATCCCGACGTTTCACTCGAGAGACGTTTTTCGATACCTGCGAAAGACGATATTTTGTAAATACTCAGATAGAAATTCAGTATGTTAGTAAACTATTAATAGAACGGCGCAAGGTAATAGGCAACGTATACGGCAGCGCATCTAGGTGTGCGTGCGCGCTTGTTAATGTGTGCGCGCGTGCCACAGCTGATTATTTCAGTGGTTAGCTGCTTAAAAAAATACATGTAAATATGTATGTCTGCGCTGTGTAGGCTGTCTCCTGATATCAGTGCTGGGTGAGGTGTGCAGGTTAGTAGAGCGGTAATGAGTGCACTAGTGCGGTGCTTGGTCTGCGCTGAAGGCAAGCTGGAGTTAATTTACTGAACCAATCCTCTGAGGCAGTAGTGCTTATTAAATACCATTAAAAAAAGGGGAAGTATGCTTCACCCAATTAACACAAAGCCCCAACACCAATACCACCACCACCATCACCTTCTCGGACTGCTGTTCTTTCCCTGGAACTTGCACTTTATATTGGGTGATTTTTACCCTCACAGACTCCAAGTCTTGGTCGAGACCGACCATGTGAACCTGTGTCAAAATATTAGAGCCTAGTTGTTATCTTTCCTCCACGCTGAAAAAAAAAAAGGGGACAAACTCCAATGCAGGTCTCTCTCTCTCTGCAGAGACCCTGGTAACACCACTGTGTAATTCAATGCAAGCTGCGGCCAAGCTCGTACGATCCAAGCACATTCCCGTGATGCCAAAACAAGCACTGCTGACAGCGGCTCACTTTTCTTGCGCACTAAAGTTCAACTCAGTGCCTACAAAACCCCCGTAGCAGCCCCCGCCCCTCTCTCCTCCAAACACACACACACACACAGCCTCACCACCACCACTACCACGAAAAAAAGAGGCTCTTTGTTGACAAGCGGGATTTCTAATAAGTCACACTTAATCCTTTATTTGCTGTGGTCGAGACAGAGTCTCCTTTTCTTGCAAACAGGGCGTAACTCTGCCTGTGAGACAAAAACTGTTCTCACGCCCATCAGTTACCAGCTCCAAAACTTATCACCTGTGTAATGATGTATTACTTAAGTTAACAGTTAACGGTTGTCAGAGCCAGACTGAACTGTAAATGCTCTGTTGCCTCACGAGGTAACTTGCCATCTGCCACATTAATCTAAAATTGATACGGGGTCCCACTGTGATTTGTGATGTGATTCTGCCCTTTTTTTTGTTTTTTTGATACTTGTATCTGATGCCTGCAGTTAAAACAAAAGAAAGGGGGAAAGAGACAAGCCTTTGATGTAAATGTGAAAAGTTCTCTTTTTTGTGCTTGCATCACTGCTGTTGCATTTTCAGTATGCACACTTGATTGGCTCTGCAAATATAAGAGTACAAGACTTGTTGATGCACATTTAGGGGGGACACTGAAATGGCTGCTTGTGTTTCCTCCACAAGTAGTTAAGGCTGTATCTGCAATGCACCATCCTATCTCAATGCTAGGCAGTGCAGATGGATTGTGGTGCAGAATGACACAGTAATATCTGTCACCAAGTGTTCCTCTGCAGGAACCCCTCAGCTTGGGGAAATTAAGACTTCCTCTCATCCCTGCACACACCCTCCCCTGCATTCTTTCTCTCTCTATTAGAGAGAACGCACATGAACAGCATCTGTGGAAATAGTTATACGCCACATCAGCTTTATGATTTGTGCAGCAATCGGTGCTGAAGTGGAGTTGTGCCTCCAAGCTGTATGGTCTTCGTTGCCAGCACGCTTGTAACGGTCTGCGTGCTTTCTATGCTGAGAGCAGATGATAAGGTCCCTCCTCTAACCTGTTCTCTGTTTCCAGCTGAGATTCAGCACTGCCTGGTGAGTGCAGGGGATGTCGGCTGCGGTGTGTTTGAGTGCTTTGAGAACAACTCCTGCGAGATACGAGGGCTACAGGAAATCTGCATGACGTTCCTGCACAACGCTGGCAAATTTGACTCTCAGGTACTAAACTAATCTGTCTGTTAGCAAAAAAGAAAATGGTAAAACAAGAGGCAGCTTTCCTTTTTATTAGTCCATTGCTTCTGAATCATCAATTTTCTTTTTAGAAGTGCGATCATACATGCCCTGAACTAATCATCTATTTCTTTTTCCCTTTCTTGACAAGTTCACATGCCTTTCAGCGGAGTGATGTGTGTACAGTTAGGACTAAGCGTCATGAGCCAGCTGGCTAGAAGCCCAGTGAGCTCCCTTTTCATACATAGCAGAGGTTGAAACCCTGCCAACCCAGGCTTGACTGGGGTGTTAATATGCCTATAGGGTCACATACTAGGAACTTACATTTCAGAAGATTTCAGTAGAAGAACAGCGGTATTTGACTACTGATTACAGAATTACATGTCCATTTTCCTTGTGAATAAAGTGTAGTTACCATTTATAGAACACAACCAAAAATACACTCCAAAACTACTAAAATAGATGTACGGTACCCACAAAATGCCAAAGCTATCTGTGTAAGTACTATACATGCAAGAGAGAAGGAACACCACATGAGCTTGCTCTATAGCTGATTTTCTAGGAACTTAAAGGGAACCCGTCTTTATGCGTACATAGGGGAAGTCCTTCATCAAGGATGCTTTGAAATGTATGGCGCATGGTCTGCGACACAAGTTCGGCTGCATCAGCAGAAAGTGCGTGTCCATTAAGGAGATGGTGTTCCAGCTCCAGAGAGAGTGCTACATCAAACACAACCTGTGCTCTGCCGCTAAGGAGAACGTGGCCGTCATGGTGGAGATGATCCATTTCCAAGATCTATTCCCCAAAGGGTAAGGGACTGATCTGGACCAGGTTTAGAGCGGTATTTTCTCTAAGCCGTCCCTTCTCTTTAATGCCAGATCTTTTTTTGAAAAAAAAATTACGATTTTGTGGATATTTTTATTTGTTCTTCTGTTGATTGTAAAGATGCATGTCAGTGAAGTCTATCCATTTGCTAGACGCTTATTGTACTTCCAAGCCTAACGTGCCTCTCTCTGCTCAGTCCATATGTAGAGCTGGTGAATATTCTCCTGAGTTGTGGAGAGGAAGTGAAGGAGGCGCTGTCACGCAGCGTCCGACTACAGTGTGAGCAGAACTGGGGGGCCCTCTGCGACAGCTTGAGCCTCTGCACCTCAATGGCCCCGTCTCCTGCCAGCACCCCAGTCGAAAACCGCCGCCACCTCATGCCTTCACAGCCTGAACCGGAGCACCCTCGCCTGCCGCGGCAAGGTGAAAAGGAGAAAGCTGGTAAGGCAGGCTTCAGCTCTCACCCACGTAACCGCAGCCAGGGACCCCGCCGTCATAGTCCGGAAGCTGGAGTGGTGGCTGAGGAGGAAGACCCCAAGGCCACCGACATCCGGAGGTGAAAGCTCAGGAAATGGACTTTTGACCTCCTACACCATTTAAAAGCCACACTTGCAGACTTGTGTACACCTTCACACAACTACAAACACACACATATTCACACACCTTTCAACACACACACACAAATTCCCATAGACTGAGCTGAAGGAAACAAGCCCCGACTTTTCCTATCCTTATTCCGCCCTTTCTAGTCATTCCAGCAGTCCCACATGGTAAATGTGCAGGGTAATCATGGTGTAGCTCATGCCAGACTGTAGGCCACATTATCATTATTATTATTATTATCATTATTATTATTATTTTAAAAATGAATAACAATTGTTGACTATTTCAGCTGTTAGGACTATTTTGGCTCTAATATAGCATTTTCTCAAATCATACTCACTGTAAGATTTGATTATATTTGTATTATTTATTTTATTCTTTATGCAAAGTTGAAATATCAATATGTACATAGAATATCTATATTTATATGAACATGTATAAATATAGTTACAATATGCAATACTGATGACATAGTATATGGTGTGCTGTCTGTCATTCTCTTCACAGTATTGCACCCATCACACAAAGGTCTGTAGATATGTAACATACACTATTTGCTGTTTTCAAAGTGGAGATATGTATTATAACTATAGATACTTGATGATTAATACAAATTGTACAGGATTTAAGTCCAGTTCTGGCACATATGAATTGTAGTGCATGACGGCCATTAAATGTGTGCATTCTTCAAAGTGTAAGTCCACTCGGAAGAGAATGAAAATGTAATGCTACGAATATGAGCAGTTAGTTCACACTTGTATGTATCGATAAGTCTCTCGCAAAGCTAGAAATAAGAGCGCAGAGACGCTTCGTCGATGTCACCCTGGCACCGCTCTCTGGGCAGCAGTCAATGGGGATCTGTATGCTTCACGAGTATTAGATATATTCTATTCACGTGTCTTACTTTAAATGCAAGTATCACACCACTCTCATTCATTGTTAATAGAGCTCTGGAAACTGTGTGTCAGAGACATTGCAGATCGGTGTCAGTGTGTTTGGTTTCAGGAGCCGTCACTCATGTTCACAAACAGCAGCTGAAATGTCAAATGTGTGACTGTCAGCTATCAGCGGCAAAGAGGATGTT